CTATGTATTGTATAACCTTGATTTAGGAAATGCGTAGGACATGTTACAGTTATATATATATATATATTTAATCATGATCATTTGTTACATAATGATTGAAGTAAACTATACCTTTTTTCTTTTTCTTTTCTTTTTTTCTCTTTTTTTTTTCTTGTTGAGAATTGTATCAAATGTCATGTGACATGTACATGTACATATGAAGAAATTCAAATATATGACTTCTACTTGAAGTTTGTACTGATGATGATGTTGTTCAAAAGAAACAATGAAAGTTCCATGACCAAATCATCTAATTCCATCAAAAGAAGATTATTGATTATTGTTTGAATAGACATTTCTGTTTGTTGTGTCTTGACTACTTCAACATGTTTTGTGTGTGTGTGTGTGTGTGAACTCATCATCATCATCATCATCATCATTTAAATCATTTTAACTAATGAATAATTGATCATTTGATTATTGAATCTATCATGATCATTGTTACTAGTTCTATTGTTATTCTTATATCCAATAATAATAATAATCACTCATCATTTGAAACAGAAGAGAACACCACCACCACCACCAACAACAACAACAACAACAACAACAACGACGATGACGACAAAAAGACAGAGAAAGTATGACCATGTTGTTGTTTGTCTTAAATCTAGGTCAATTAGTCATAATAACTAACCAACTAACTAACTTTGGTAGAATAGTAGTTTCATAATAATCTTTTCTATGTTATAATTGTAAAAGACAATAAAAAAAAGTCCCGACATAAATATGTGTAATTTTGGTCACATAAAGAATTGTCTATATTAATATGATCTTAGTATCTTTTCTAATAATTAGTCTAGTTACGTAACAACCGTTTGTCTAGAAATTAGTTTCTGTCTATATTGCTATTGTATATAAATAGAGACATATAACACTTAACCACATACATACATCTCTACCTACCTACCTACCTACACACACACACACATACATACATACATACATACATACGTACGTACGTACATACAAACTATTTTTCATTGATAGTCTGAAATGAGAACAAAATAACTGGATTACCTATTGAGCGTAATTTTTAATAATGATATATATATATATATATATATAGATAGATAGATAGATAGATAGATAGATAGGTATTTTTTCTCTTTCTGGTAATGTTTTATAATCCATAACCAACTTCTTGGCCTAGATACCAGATGTATCTGTTTTTTTTCAAACTACAGACAGACTAAATCAAAGTGTTCTACAGTACGTGCATAGATGATATACATGCACAAACGTGTATATGTATATATATATACATACCATAAATATGATCTTTGTGTCTATATTTGTATGTCTAAGTGAATTGGAGTAGAATTTAAGAGTAAACATGAAATGTTTGAGTGAATGAATGAGTGTAAGATGAAATGAAAAAGAAAAGAAATTGATCCATAATTAAATTAATTTGTAACGATTGTTTGAATTTTCCTATTGATATTTTTGGTTGTAGTTGATCAGTCTCTCTTGACAAATGTCTACCTTCAATTGACTATAATCTACAAAAAAAAAAACCCATTCTGATACTAAACAACATATGCTCACTAAATCATTGGATTCAAGAAGTATATAGTGGATTTTTAGTGTGAAGCAGTGACTAGTAGAGTTCAACCGGGTTTGTTGTAAGATAGTAATTTTGCTGAAGATAATGGTGGATGTGTCAATTAATTTCGTGGATTAGTTAAAGTTAGACATTGAGACAATTGAATGCTAGCTCAGTGGTCCAGTGGTTAAGCTCTCACAAGCGAGGCTGATAGGTTCTGTGTTCGAATCTGGCCAGGCACGGTCTTGAATGCGCTCTACTGAGGAGTTCGACAATAAGACGAGATGTCCGTTCAGTACTTCCAGGTTTTCTATGGCGGCCTAGCTTCAATTGACTCATGATTTCTAAAATATTCACAAAACCCCTTCTGATAAATGTCCAATCGCTATCTGAACTTAGTAACTAAATGGATAACATGATAGTGTTTAAAATGAACAGTATTAGATTCAATTCTCAGGGTGAACATGAACTCTGATATCTAGATATATTCAGTTGACCAGTTCAAAATAGGATGAAGCACAAGTCTTAGATTCCATCTCTTCTTATCATACTTGTGATTTAAGACAATATTGAAGTAATCTATACACGATATACATATACCAATCAATGAGAAAATTCAATATAACCAATATTGTAATAAAAGAATCTTTTTGAAATTTACCGATCACTTTAATGTTTATAGAGTTTTAAACTTTTTCTTTTCTGGTTAAACTGATTTTATTTGACAACCATTGAAATAATAACAATAACAACATTATCTTTATTCATATTTTTGTGTATGTTTATGGTTGAGTGGGGGTGGAGGTGGGTGGGGGTGGGGGTGGGTGTGGGTGGTCGGAAGCAGTGGTACTACTAGGAATCAACCGATGAAATAAATTTAGGAGAAATAAAAAAGAATTTAATTCGTTTTTTTTTCTTTTCTCTTTCTGTATACATAATCACTGTCATTTATGAATATTTTTTCCTCAGTAAATTCTATTCTAATTTCTATGTCTACTATTGTACAATAACTTGGCATAGCAACTATAGTTGACATTAAATATTGATAATAAAGTAAACGGATGACCTTGGGCGACTGATAAGCTAATGAGAAAATGCCGCCTAATTATAAAATAATGAATAACAAAATGTAATGAAATAACAATGGGATAACAGTTTTAATGATAATAATTAAACCTCATAAGTTAAATTATCCTTTGTAGTGAATAAAGAAAAAAGTCAAGTTTACTTATATACATCTATGCTAAGAGTTGGGGCTAGTGTTGTCAGCTAGGGTTATCATCTTGTAGAGCATTCGTCATCAACTGATATCAGTCATAATATAAAAAGGACAGAATGAGATAGGAGTTTTGAATTAGATTTACAAATTAAGATCCAGGTTTCATCATCAACTGATATAAGCTATAACGCAATGTACTGACACATTTATCTTTACAAATTTGAGAAACAGTTAAGATTTAGAGCTAGAGTAAAAAAAAAGGTAAAACAATGTTTCAATAGTTAAGATCATGAGTTAATAAAATCTAAACCATCATGGAAAACATGTAAGTACTAGACGGACGTTTCGTCCTATTGTGGGACTCTTCAGCAGTGTGGATCCACGACCGCGCCTTACGAGATTCGAACCCAGGACTTATCGGTCTCGCTTGAGAGAGCTTAACCACTGGACTACTGAACTGGCATCTAACGTTCTTAATGTATAATTTTAACACACCCACAAAATTGAGTGATATATCAGCCATTGTTTAGAGCGATTAACTATCTCACAACAGACAAAGTTGAATTCCACTAGTCATTGCTTCACACTAGAAGTCCAGGATATACCTCTTGAATCCAGTGACTTGTGAGCATATATTGATTAGTATCAGAAGAGGTTTTGTATAGATTGTAGTAATTTGAATAGTTGAGATCATGAGTCAATTGAATCTAGATCACCATGTATAACATTATCTAGCTTCATTAAACACTAGATTACCCAAATAAACAACTCCAACTACTTTAAGACACAATATACTTTAAGAGCATGTATGTTATGTCATTTAGCTTGTCAATTTTTACTTGACTGTTAATTATATACACATTATCTGCTATTGTACAAAAATACAATAGGCATTATCTTAATTACAATTGGTCAACTCAAGAACGTCAGTATATCCTACTTTTACCATAAAAAATTTGATACGAACAAACAAGATAAATGGTTGTACACTTTAATACATTAACTGTTATATGGATATTTATGAAGTTTGCTACTTTTTTCTCTGTCAAGCATATGTAATTTACAAATAACCTCCTCGTAACAAATATGATCTAAATAAAGTTCCTATATTTTATTATATTCATTCCATGGCAAAATATGTAGAATCTACGAATGTAGATAAAAAAGATTTTGATTGAGATCATGAATCGATTGATGTTTGACCACCGATGAAAACTTGGAAGCACTGGACGTTCGTTTCGTGCCTCTGTCAGTCTCCTTAGAAGTGCGCATTCATGACCCCGTCCACGGGCTTCGAACCCAGGGCCTTCAGTTTCACACATACTGGTGAGGAGTCTCACAAAAGGACAAAACGGACATCCACTGCTTCCAGGTTTTCAATGGTGGTCTAACATCAATCGGTTTATGATATCAATCAAAAAATTAATAATCTCCACGACCCTATACGGAAAAATATTGTGTCGTGTTTTTCTGAAGAAATGACTTCTCTAAGTTTCACAGACTGTTATTAACATTAAAGTCGAAGATATCGGTTACCATGATACAAAGTTGATTACTGTTAGTATGAATGAATTCATTTTGTATATGCTCAAACTTCTTTAGTTAAGTGTCATTATACACTTTTCACTTTTAAACTGTTGTGTCACTATGGTGATGTAACAGAATGGGCAAATAAACATCACACCGAAGCCTATATTCAGTATGAATAACAACATCAACGATAAGTATTTGCTTTTTTGGTTACTTATGTAAAACGCAGCAATTTGAAAAACTCTCCCAATCTCCCACATTGTGCGAGCATTCCATGTACCTAAATAAATGGTTGCTCTGGTTGTCAGAAGGGGCATCGGCCTCGTGACTTCCGAAGAAACTCGGCTTTCATCATGAGACGTCATAATTCTTCTAAACGAAGAACTCCTGACTCCCAGGGCAGAGTTTAAATGGTTTGAATAATTTTTTCTGGTTAGCGTTTTTTTAGCGAGTTAGTTTTCTACGGGATGGGGTCGCTAACCCCATGCCCAACCCACCTCCTTTATCCGGGTTTGGGACCGGCAGTAGCCCCCCGAAAGGGACTCCAGGCGGAGTCATGTAAAACGCAGGTTCACTCAAATGAAAATTACCATTGAGAATGCTATACCATAGATGTTATCACTTATATGGATGGTGTCACTGATCATGGTGACGTATTAATGAGTA